CAAAACCCAAAGTAGAAGGAAGGAAATAAAAAAGATCAGAGCAGAAAAAAATGAAATGGAAAATAGAAAAACAATAGAAAAGATTAATGAAAGTAAGTTGGTTCTTTGAAAGGACAAACTGATGATCCTCTAGCAAGACTCATCAAGTAGAAAAGAGAACACAAATACATAAAATCGGAAATAAAAGAGGAGTAATTACAACCGACACCACAGAAATACAAAAGATCATTAAAGAATACTATGAACAATTATATGCCAACAAATTTGAAAATCTGAAAATGAATAAATTTCTTGAAACATACAACCTTCCAAAACTAAGCCAGGATAGAAACAAAGGATCTGAAAAGACCAATTGCTAGCAATGAGACTGAGCAGTTATAAAAAAAAACTCCCAACAAATAAAAGCCCAGGACCAGACAGCTTCACAGGTGAATTCTAACAAACATCTAAAGAAGAATTAGTACCAATCCTTCTCAAACTATTCCAAAAAATTGAAGAAGAAGGAACACTTCCAAACTCATTCTATAAAGCCAGCATCACCTTGAAAACAAAACTAAAGACACCACAAAGAAAGAGAATTTCAAGCCAATATCCGTGATGAACATAGATGCCAAAATTCTCAAGAAAATACTAGCAAACCAAATTCAACAATACATCAAAAGGATTATACACCATGATCAAGTGGGATTTATACAAGGGATGCAAAGGTAGTTCAACATCCACAAAACAATGTGATTCATCACATCAACAAAATCAAGGTTAAACATCGTATGATTACCTCAGTATATGCAGAAAAAAGCAAATTCAACATCCATTTATCATGAAAACTCTCAACAAAGTGAGTACAGAAGGAATTTACCTCAACTTGATAAAGGTTATACATGACAAGCCCACATCTAACATCACATTCAATAGTGAAAAGATGAAAGCTTTTTCTCCAAGATCAGGAATAAGACAGGGATATCTGCTTTCACCACTCTTATTCAACACAGTACTAGAAGTCCTAGACAGAGCAATCAGACAAGAAAAGGAAAAGGCATCCAAATAGGAAAGGAAAAAGTAAACTGTCACTATTTGCAGATGACAATATTATATATAGAAAACCTTTATATATACTATATAAAGAATCCACCAAAAATTAATTAGTAAATAATTCAGTAAAGTAGCAGGATACAAAATTAATATACAGAAATCCATCACTTTACTATACGTTGATAACAAACAATCAGGAGAAATGAAGAAAACATCCTCATTTACAATTGCATCAAAAAGAATAAAATATCCAGGAATAAACTTAACCAAGGAGGTAAAATACTTGTACTCTGAAAACTGTAAGATATTGAAGAAAGAAACTGAAGAGGACACAAATAAATGAAAGGATATACTGTGCTCATGGATTGCAATGATTAATATTGTTAAAGTGACCATACTATTCAAAGCAATTTACAGATTCAATGCAATTCTTGTAAAAATACCAGTGGCATTCTTCTCAGAACTAGAACTATTAATCCTAAAACTGATATGAAACCACAAAAGACCTTGAATAGCCAAAGCAGTCTTGAGAAAGAAGAACAAAGTTGAAGGTACTCTGATCTTAAACTATACTACAAAGTTATAAAAATCAAAACAGTATGGTACCGGCACAAAAACAGACACATAGATCAATGGAACAGAACAGACAGCCTGGCAACAAACCCTCACTTATATGGTCAACTAATGTATGCCAAAGGAGGTAAGCATATACGCTGGAAGCACAACAGTCTCTTAAACAAGCGGTGTTGGGAAAACTGGGCAGATATGTGCAAAAAAGTGAAATTGGACTACTCTCTTACACTATATACAAAAATAAACTCAAAATGGGTTAAAGACTTAAATGTATGGAAGTAAACTATTTCACATCAGTCTGAGTAATATCTTTTGGATACATCCACTTGAGCAAGGGAAACAAAAGCAAAAACAAACAAATAGGACTACATCAAATTAGAAAGCTTCTACACAGCAAAGGAAGCCTTCAACCCAAACAAACAGGCAACCAACCAAGTGGGAGAGGATATTTGCAAACAACACCTCCAATAAGGGGTCAATATACAAAATACATTACAAACTTGTATAACTCATTAACAAAAAAACTAAACAATCCAATTGAAAAATGGGCAGAGGACATGAAAAGACATTTCTTCAAAGAGAACATACAGATGACTGACAGACATGAAAAGATGCTCATCAATTGTTATCAGGGATATGAAAATCAAAACAATAATGAGATACCACCTCACACCAGTCAGAATGGCAATTATCAAAACGTCAACAAATAACTTCTGTTGGTGAGAATGTGTACTGTTGGTGGGACTGCCAACTGGTGCAGCCTCTGTGGAAACCAGCATGGAGATTCCTCAAAAAACTAAAAATAGATGCACCATACAACTCAGCAATTCCACTTTGGGGTATTTATCCAAGAAAACCAAAACACTAATTCAAAAAGATACATGTACCACGATGTTCACTGCAGCATTATTTATAACAGCCAAGACATAGAAGCAACCTAGGCATCCATTGATAGAGAAAGATGTCAGAGATACACACACACACACGCATGCACACACACATATGTATATACACACACATATAAAAAGGAATATTACACAGCAACTGTTTCACTTATATGTGGAATCAAAAACAAAATGAAGCAAACAAATAAACAAAACCGACTCATGGAAACAGAGACCAAAGGGATGGTTATTAGAAGGAAAGGGGGAGATGGATGAATGAGGGAAGGGGAATACAGTTAATGATATTGTGACAAGTTTACACAGTGAAAGATGATTACTAGAATTAGTGGGATTAATACGTCGTAAGGTATTATGAAAATATCAAATCATTATATTGTACACCTGAAACCGATATAGTATTGTATGCCAACTATACTTAAATAAAAAAAATTTAAAAAATGAGATTAACTGCAGAATACACAAAACGCTAGACAAGAAAGCAAATGGAATTGCTTGACACTGTGTGGCTCAGCTGTAAAATATATACATAATCATAAAAATGTAAACATTAAATATTCATCATAAATGATGTTACCATTCTGAAAGACAGAGCTGAGGCAGTGCGCATGGCTGGCAGTCTAAGGGAGTGACACTCCCATCTTCCATGGTGGGAATTCTACCGATAATGTTTAAAAATTTTACATTGATATCATTATACTATCAACTCTTATCTAGAAAGACTGAGGTAAATGTCAGAAGAAACAGCTTGAAGAACTTAAAGAATAAACCTAGAGAACAGGAGAAAAGATAGTAGTGTGGGAGACTGCTTTTGTTTTTCTGAGTATTATACTATTTGACTTTTAAAAATGATAGACATGCATTTGTTCGACAGAAGTAAAAACTAAGTTTTAAGAAAGTTAAATTAAGACTGTGATAATAAAAAGGAAATAAAACTTCTGTTGGCAAGTCAGTACTTTGGAAGCAACCTCTACCCTTGAGGGGGAAAATGGCAAAAATCATTTAGTAAAAATAATTTTCAGCCCTGGCTGGCATAGCTCAGTGGATTGAGCATGGGCTGTGAACCAGTGTTGTAGGTTCGATTCCCAGTCAGGGCACATGCCTGGGTTGCAGGCCATGACCCCCAGCAACCCCACATTGATGTTTCTCTGTCTCTCTTTCTCCCTCCCTTCCTTCTCTAAAAAATAAAATAAAATAAAATCTTAAAAATTAAAAAAAATAATAATTTTCTTGTTTTTATTCTGAAAATTTAGGGGAGCTGGTGGTAGAAATGCATGAGTGCTACAGGGATTTCTTGATACCAGAATATCGGACTTTGGGGTTATAGCCAGATGGGAAAACAATGCACCGTTCCTCCTACCAGCTCTGCTGACATTCCTTTGTGGATGAGAAACACTGAGCTACAAGGGAATAATAAGGTGTAGGGCACAGGTGGCAAATACAAGGCCCATGGGCCGAATCCAGCCCTCCACCTTATTTTACCTGGCCTGACACCTTGTTTCTACCCGGGGGCCGCGCTGAGCTCCTTGCCCTTAGTTAAGGAGTAGTTACATTTATACAGTCCTAAAGTTATATCCGGCCCTTTGAAGGTGACTGCGAGGCTGATGTGGCCCCTGGTGAAAATGAGTTTGACAGCCCTGGTGTAGAGCAAGGGTAACCTTGTGGATAACCTGAAAGCCTCAGACTTGCCCTTAAGTAAAGATGAATCATCTTCATTAGAAAGAGCCACTTCGAACGACCACTAGGAAAAACAGGTTAGCCTTTTGACAAGGCACGTGCCATCCACCACAAATCCCTCCATAACTGACCCTCTAACTCAGACCATGTACCTTTTGCAGAATCCCAGCACAGTCATTAGAACAAAATTTCTCCAAGTAGAGAACATCTCTATTACAACATTATGCAATTTTAGTAAAACCTATTGTAGGCCCTAGCTGGTGTGGCTCAGTGGATTGAGTGCTGGCCTGTAAATCAAAGGGTCGCTGGTTCTATTCCCAGTCAGGGCACATGCCTGGGTTGTGGGTCAGGTCCCCAGTGGGGGGCACACGAGAGGTACCACACATTGAAGTTTCTCTCCTCTTTTTCTCCCTCCCTTCCCCTCTCTCTAAAAATAAATAAATAATTTTTTTAAAAACAACCTATTGTAGAAGGTAAGGTATTAAATTAAATAAAGCAAAATTACAGGTTTCCTATCCTGAATGCATTCTCCTTTTTAGGATTTTTTATTGTTGTTCTATTACACTTGTCCCAATTTTTTCCCCTTTGCCCTCCTCTGCCCAGCCCACCCACCCGCCTGCCCCCCTACAGTCCATTCCCACACTGGTGCCCATGTCCATGGGTCATTCATACATGCCCTTTAACTAGTCCCTTCCCCTTCTTTTCTTAACTAACAGTACAACTCCAGTTGTACTACACACATGCTGTCATCATCATGTTTGGCGGTGAAAGACAGAGCGTAGACATTAACAAAGACTGCTCTACTACAGGCTTTACCTGGTACTGGAACTGAATGGGCTGTAGTTGGCTGCCATCCTGGGTCATCTTCCTGGCCAGGGCCTCTTTCAGTGCAAGGGCTTTATTCAACTCGACCAGCTCCTTGGACATCTGAGCTTGACGTAGAGCATGTTGAGTGGTAAAGCCATCGGAAGACCTGCTGGTCTGGGGACAGGTTTCCAGTAGCTGCAACGGATCGGGAGAATGATTGGTAAGACAAATGAGCAGCTGGAGCTCCTCGGGCACTACTTGATCGAGTCTCACAGCCACTTCTCCATTACCAGCACCTATGTTCTTTGAAAACCGTGGCTATGCTTAATATCTGAAATAAATTGAGCTGGGCTATTTCCCTGCTCACGCAGGTATCTCATATCTTATATCCTTTAACTGACCCTTTCAGAGGGAACTAAAAGTTTCCTGCCCTTTGCTTTATGGACCAGGCCAACATGTCTCACTTTGACCCCACTCTGAGGGGCCCTTCCAAGGGAGAGGGCTCTGGAAACGGAGAAGGGACTTCATTTTCCTCACACAGCTGACCTCTGGCACCTGATTCAGCTCTCATCTTCTTTCAGAATATGAAAACTGCCGATAGATATTTGCTTTAGGGAGAAAAAGCTGCCTAGAGCACACACATCGCCCAGCCTTTCAGTTTGACTTTGCTCGCTAACCTTCAGCCAACATCTAATATATTTTATCTATTCTTGTCATGTGAATACTCAAAATATTCTCCTTGGTCCTTTTAGCTCCTAACCATCCCATACATAGAAAAGTGTAATGAGAGGAAAAAAAAAAAGTCTCTTCCATTTCCTCTCTAATGCTTTTCTGACCTTGCCATGATTTCCTCATTTTAACTTGCTAGAAAGTGGATGCAGAACACTAGCATCTAGCAAGAGATCAGGAAGCCAGACTGCAAATGGGGAAAGTGACACACCTGAGAGGCCCTGCCACCCATTAGCAGTTTACAGTTCAAGATGGAGCCTACCCCAGTTAGGGGATTGGACACAGCTCAGATTTATATGCCAGATTTCTGGATTGCCCAGGCATGCTACGGAGGATGGTAGCAGTTGGGGGTTTGCTCCCTCGGCCGAGTGATAAATGAGAGGCAATGGCACAGTTAAAGCTCCTGCTTCTACTACACAAAGGGGCCAATTACTTACAGCTTCTGGTTCCGCTGCAGTATCAATGGCCGCAGTCATGCAAGCCACCGTTTCGTCCTGCAATGACAAATGATGTTTCAGTTTAGGCAAAGATTCTGAAGTGAAGCTTACTAGTGGGATTTTTATGCTGCCTCTTTAATTTTTGTCAAGCGTAGATAGACACCATTTAAGGAGCTGAACCCTTTCTAGGCACATAGACTCCAATGGCCACGCATTTCCGTTTCCTACCTCTTGAGAGTTTGTCTTCTTTATAGGGAGGTCGATTGTACAGTTTGCCAAAAATAGGGTCATGTGGCACCTTACATACAGGGTGGGGCAAAAGTAGGTCTTAAGTTATGAGTACATGAAACAAGAGTTCATTCTCATATTATGATTTATTAATTATTGTACTGTTTTCCATACGGGAAACTGTATGCCTTCTTTCCCCCACCCTGTATTCATTGTACCTCTTCGGTCTGGCCAGAGATCATTGGGCCAGCGTGAGACACTTAATCATTCCAACAGACAAAAGTTTAAGCGACTGTATAGATTCCACCCCTTCCTTTTATGTTTTGACCACTAAGTCTACTTTTACAACATACAGGTCTAGACAGTCCTCATGGACACACCATCCTAAGAACATACGTATCATCAAATAAAGCCAATGCAGCACAAAAGTGAGCAGAGTCAAGGTTTTCTTTTTAAAAAATAATTTTATATATTTAGACTAAAGAGAGAGGGGAAGGGAGGAAGAAAGAGAGAGAAACATCGATGTATGAGAGAAACATTGATGGACCTCCTCTTGCATGCCCCCGATCAGGGACCTGGTCCACAACCCAGGCATGTGCCCTGACTGGGAATCAAACCAGCAACTTTTCCGTTCACGGGACAATGCCTAACCCACTGAGCCACACTGGTAAGGAAAACGGTTATTTTTGATTTTTATTTTAAAGTCAGTCAAGGTAGCAATAGCCCACCCTCCAAGGAAATAAATGCCATGGTGGATACCCCAGAAAAATGTACCCATGAAGCCAGATAAATATACTGTAGCCACTCTTACTCTTATATCGTAAGAATCGATCAGATGCAGCTACTCCAGGTTGTGGAGGAAATGTGGAGGCACTAATTCCCTCCCAGAGAAGGGCAAATTCCTTTTCTGAGCATTGAAACACCACCTAGAAAGGAATTCTAAAACCACTTATTAGGATTAATTTGTTTGTAGGCTATCACATGAGCAAGCTCAGCTCTCCCTGGTGGAACTTTGGCTTTATTTGGCATTGCAACCTATGGATTGCCATTTCCGTTTAAATGATCCTGCAAAGCCCTGAGAAGAAAGGATTACTTTCAGGAAGTCACATGATGAAGCAGGTTATAGGTGAAAGAGCTATTGGCTCAATAGCAAGGAAAGAATTTAGGGTTAGTGCACGCAGTCTCCGCACCAGCCCAGGGAAACATTACATGGTGTTGACACTTCAATCTCAGTACCTTTAAGATGAGGAGTGAAGAGGCCCTCAGTAAGTGCTGTTTATAAAGCATTTCCCTTATTCTACCCAGAAATTCTCAACTAGTGAGACCCAAAGAGAATTCAAAGGCAGTGCCAGTGTTCGCACATCCTTTCTCATCATGATTGGCAATACTGGTGATTCTTTAAGAGCAAGACACACTAACTCCTTCTTTTTAAAACAGAGTACTTCAGTCTTGGCTGGTGTGGCTCAGTGGATTGAGCACCAGCTTGTGAACCAAAGGGTCGCCAGTTCGATTCCCAGTCAGGGCACATGTCTGGGTTGCAGGCCAGGTCCCCAGTGGGGGGCATGCGAGAGACAACCGATTGATGTTTCTCTCACACATACATGTTTTTGTCTTTCTCCCTCCCTTCCTCTCTGTCTAAAAGTAAATAAATAAATTATATATATATATATATTAAAAACAATAGAATTTATTTTGTTGAACAGCCTCTTGCCTCTTTCTCCCTCATTCCAAAGCTACAACTGAGAACGTTTTTCTTTACATATTTTCCTCTTTTATTGTTGGTCTATCACAGTTGTCCCAATTTCCCCCCTGTTGCTGTCCCCGGCCCTGCGGCACCATGCCCTGTACCCACAGTCAGCCCCCACCCTATTGTCCGTTTCCATGGTGAGAACTTTTCTCAAGGTAAAAAGACATGATTTACTGAAGGTGACGATCAGGGGAACAAGGCTAGGGCACAATGAGATAAATTAACCAGCAACACTCGCCCAAATGAAATCCGTGCTGGTAGGTTGTAGGCAATACCATTACTAGGCATGCAAAATGTTTTTTATGGAACTGGTCTTGAAGGAGGGAATGGAAAGAAATGCACGGATTTCTTCACAGGTAATTGCAACAAGAGAGTTTACTTGAATTATACTTTAAAGGGATAAAGGGTACAGTTCAGCACTTAAAGCCCTAGGAAAAAAGTCTGGGAACAATGGCTGCCTTCATAACAGAAAAGGGGGTATTTACCCACTACTTAAGATAAAAATAGTTCTAATCCAAAACGAAGGGCACAAGCACTTACAATGAGACATTTTGCTTTCACTATAGTGAGTCTTAATAATAAAAAGCCACAGGGTACACTGTTAAATAATTTTCAAAAAAATATGTAGCTGGGAGGGACCCAAAACAATAGATGTGGAGAACTCTGATTCAAGAGTCCAGCGGGAGCCATGGGTAAAAGGACTTATTCTGCCTGTGACAGTGGTTGGATGCCAGGGACTTTATCAGCTTGTGGCAATCTTTAGCACCCTGCTCCTCTATGTACCAAGTGAATTTTAGTGGCAGACACAGTGATTCTGCAGAGTTCCTTGGAGCCAGCACCACTAGCAATTTCCTCTATAGGCATGCCACGTACCAGTCGTGTTGCTAGATCCTCACTGAGGCTATGCCTTTTCTTATTAACTTGGTCCCACAGGTTTCCCTTTCACCTTCCCCGTGTGGCTCAAAGACCCAGAAATGAGGTGGCGTGGCCACAAACAATGGTGCCCTGGACCACTCTCTCTGATCTTATAAGCTTTGGCTCCCATGGGGTTCTGCAGCCTGTTATTTTAATTTGGCAGCGACTCACACAAGGTTTTCATGTTAGATGTTCCAGCTATATTTATGATGGGGGACCCAAAAAGCCCGGAGTTATCTTCTGGAGGGTGGGTCCCTTGTAGTACAGACTCCCCCCACTAGGTAGTGTTCTAGGAACCCATCTGTATCAGTGTACCAGCTGGCATTGTTGTGAGAGGCTGCATTCGACTTCAGTGAATTTTTTTGAAGACTCCTTGAATGTGTTTGCGCATTTCATGATGGGTGAATTACAAGTGCACCTGCCAACACCATGCTGAGTGTTCATAATTTTTTGATCAAAAATGGCATGACCTCTGTGCCCCACCCTCCCTATTCACCCCCCAGCAACTTGTTTTTGTTACCCCGGATGAAAAAAACGTCCTCAAAGAAAAACATTTTGCTGATGTGGGAGAGGTAAAACAAACAACTCCAGAAGCAGTAAAAGGCATCCAAATTGACTAGTTGAAAAACTCACTGTTTTGAGCAGTGGGAAAAACCATCTCAATTGGTGTGTTACATCAAATGGACAGCACTTAAAAGGTGACTGAAGTTTAAACATGTGAGAATACACACTTTTTAATAAATTACATTTGGGGGGGGTCCACCCTCGTAAGCGGAGCTATAGACAGTGAAGTTTAACCTTGTGATAGCCACCCTCTGGCTTTATATGTCAGCCACACTGAAATTCTCACTGTGTTCCAAACATTTGTTCCTCCTTGTTTTTGCATTTACCTTTTCCCTCCCTATACATGGCCCTTTCCCCTCTGTTTGTGTGGCAAGCTCTCATTCATTTTTAAGGGCCCAGTTTCTTCTGTGCTGTCTTCCTGAATTCTCTAGGCAGTTAACCGCCCCCTCCTTCATTCCCCAAAACACTTGGCTGATATTGCTAACGTAAGAAGATTAAAGCACATGACAGAGGGTCCCCAGTTTTCCTTGCCCCCTTTCCCTTTCCACTTGCTGTGTCATCTCTCACCTGTGAACCTTGCCCAACCGACAAACTACAGGGCTTGCAAGAACAATCCTTGAAAATAATTGAACCGTTATAAGCATGGGACCGCACTGATGTTCTTTATCAACAGCCATGAAAACTGAAACAACCTCCACCCCAAAAGTTTCACAGCAATTAACAACACAAGCTGCTGTTTGAGCCCCACCCTAGGGAACTACCTGAGTCACACACGGATTGGAGCATGGTAGGCGCTCCCTGGGTTCGTCAGCTGAATAATGCCTTTAAGCCTCGATTTTGGTCCCTTCAATTATTTTCTTTTGCTATTAATACAGTACTGAGCAAGAGTACACAGCTAGTGAGCGGCAGGAACGGCTTTCCAGCAGGGTCTGTCTGGCTCTGCAGCCCAGGTTCTCAATTACTGGGGCCTGCTGGTTGGATAAATGAACCGTCATCTCGAACTGCTCATGATCGTTTTGTACAGTGCTACTTATTCTGAAACGCTGCTCTCTAGTCCTGTGGGAGTTTAGTTATTTAATTTCCTGGAACTGGCCATCCTGAACCTTCTCCCCATCATACTACCTGGTATTTTTTCAATGGCTCTTTAGAGTGAAATATAGATGTGGATGATTTTGTAATATGCTTTTGACAACTCTAGAAAATGCTGAGCAAGACCTGGGGTACAGAATCACTGTTCTGAAGAAATTAAATATTCTGCCCAAGAGCTAGGAATTACCACCAGGCACTTACATACACGTTGCTGCTTCAGAAGGATAACTAAGAGGGTATAGATGGAACAAAGCCAACCATAACCCCTTATCCAAACATGACCACTTAATATAATATTATTTCAATTTTTAAAAAGTATGTATACCTAAGAACTAAGAAAATGAACACTAAAAAATTTTTAAAAGGTTTTTAGGAAGGTGTTGGAATTGTAAGAATTTTTTCTTCTGGGAAAAACAACAAATAACAACCCCTCTGTCCCCTCCAAACCCATCCATAACTACTATAATAGTTCTAAATGTAAAAAAAAAGGGGGGGACTTATAGCAGAATGATGATTGAAACTAATTTATTATTGGTTATAAAGAGCCCTGGCTGGTGTGGCTCAGTGGATTGAGTGCCAGCTGTGAACCCGAAAGGTCGTCAGTTTGATCCCCAGTCAGGGCACATGCCTGGGGTGTGGCCCAGGTCCCCGGTAGGGCGCGTGCAAGAGGCAACCGATCCAATGTTTCTCTCCCTCTCTTTCTCCCTCCCTTCCCCTCTCTAAACATGAATAAAATATTCAAGAAAAAGTGAAAGACCTATGGTATTCCCTGTTTGTTTTTTTTTTCTAAGCTATTTGTCAGAAGCCAGCTTGTTTAAGATTGGGGTATGGTACAAGGCCCCTTCCTAAGTTAGCCTACACCGAAAGGGCTGCAAATCAATGACCGCTGCTCGAGCTACCCAGGCAATTTTGCACATATACAGGGTGGGGCAAAAGTAGGTTCATAGTTGTTCAAATGTAGAGCAACACACTAATTCAACTGCAAACATACTTTTGCCCCACCCTTTATGTTGCCGCTTGCAGCATTTGATTAGAATGCTAAAATATTAATGTACCATTGCATATGAATCCTAAGGATGTTTCATTTCACAAATTCATATGTAGATCATATCCAATGACCATGATATTTGTCCTCAAACAGCTGACAGTCTAGTTGTTTCAGCAGAAGACACAGAGTTGAACAGATTTATATGCATTGAGAGACACATAGGAGGGCTTCTGGTCAGCATGGCGAAGTAGGTAAACGTGGTACTCACACCCTCCCACAACCACGTCAGATTACAACTAAACTACAGAACAACATTCACCACAAACCACCTAAAGTCTAGTTGAACGGAAGTCCTATAAGTAAGGATGTAAAGAAGCCACATGGAGACTGGTGGGAAGGGCAGATCAGAATGGGCTGGTCCCACAGCCACGTGTGGTGGTAAAAAATCTGGAGAGAGATCTTGGCTGCAGAGGTCTTCAGGGAGTGAGCGGTCCCAGCCCCACACCAGGCCCTCCAGCCCTGGGTTCCAGTGCCAGGAAGAGAAGTCTCCATAACTTCTGGCTGTGAAAACCAGTGGGGATTGTGGGAAAACCAGGGTGACTCAGGGGCTCCTGGAATCCCAGGCAGTTCCTCTTAAAGGGCCCATTAACAAATGTACTCGGACTCAGTCTCTCTGAGCTCCAGCGCTAGAGCAGCAGCTTGAAAGGCTCTAGGAACTGAACGATCCAGTGAGGGCTGGAGGGCCAGGTTTCTCCCAGACAGAAGTGCTGGCAGAGGCCATCATTCCCTTCTTGAGCCCTCCCCTCACAGAGCTGGCAGGTGGGCGCCATATCTGAGTCTCCATCCACCTGGCTCACACGGCTCACCCTGCCCTGGTGATTCACTGATGCTCCAGTCCACACAACTTGCAGGCTCTCCCAGGACGCTTCCCAGCGACTGTTCCATACAAATGGCCTATCTTAGCTCATGTTGCAGACTTTCCTAAAGTCTCTTAAAGAGTCACAAACCCCAAACAAGCAGTATCTAGCCTTGGTGTGTCTTGTACCTCTTGGTAATCAGCCTCATGCCTAGCACTAGCAGAAGCTGGGCTCGGTTCACAGCTTGGCCTCTCCTGGGCACATCTCAGCCTAGCACAAGCAGCAGCCACTTGCAGGTTGCTCCGTAGCTCATGCCAGGTGGCCCCGGACAGGACACAGGTGACAGCTCATCTTGGCCCATACATCCCAGGAGGCCTTAGAGCCAATGTACCTGGTAGACAGCTTCAGACCATGCTGCAGCTCCACCCAAACACCTCCATGAGTGACATACACTAGAGGTGGGCCCCTTGGGCACCAGAGCCCCGCTGAAGTGAGTCCTGCTCCATGGGGTCGGCCCCTGCACAGTAGCTCCTCCGCTGTAGTCTCAGTCCTTGCAGCCAATTGGCCTGGAGGTAAATCCCTCCCATTGATCTGCCAACAGCAACCAAGGTTCAACTACAAGAGGAGGGTGTATTCAGCCCACACGAAGGGCGCGCCTCGAGTGCCCAGCTTGGGTGATAGGAGAGGCTGTGCCCGCTGGACCCTGCAGGACACCTACTACATATGGCCGCTCTACCAAAACTGGGTGACATAGGAGCACTATTTAATTACATAGAAACAAATACAGAAGGCTGCTGAAGAAGCACATCCCAAATGAAAGAACAGAACAAAACTCCAGAAAAAGAACGGAATAAAATGGAGACAAGCAACCTGCTAGACACAGAGTTCAAAATATTGGTTATAAGGATGGGCAATGAATTTAGGGGAAGAGTAGAGGGACTTAATGAGGACTTCACCAAAGAGATAGGGAACATAAAATAGAGATAGAAACATTGAAAAAAGTCAGAAATGAACAATACACTAACTGAAATGAAGAATAATTTACAGGGAATCAACAGTAGAGTAGATGAGGAAGAGGATCGAATCAGAGATTTGGGAGATAAGGAAGCAGAAAACACCCAATAAGAACAGCAAAAAGAAAAAAGAACCCAAAAATAATGAGGATAATTTAAGGAACCTCTGGAACAACTTCAAGTGTACATATATTCACATCATTGGGGTGCCAGACAGAGAAGAGAGACAGCAAGGAATTAAAAACCCATGTGAGCCCTGGCTGGGTGGCTCAGTTGGTAGGATCATTGTCCCATGCACCAAAAGCTTGCAGGTTCAATCCCTGGTCAGGGCACATACCTAGGTTGCAGGTTCAGTACCCTGCACATACACCCTGGGTATCACGATACCGATACCCAGTTGGGGCATGTATAGGAGGCAACTGATCAATGTTTCTCTTTCGAGTCAATGGTTCTCTTTCTCTCTCTCTCTCTCTCTCTCTCAAGTCAGTAAAAACATATCCTCAAGTGAGGATTTTTTTTTTTTAAAAAAGGACATAGGGTGGCTGAATGGATAAAAAAACATGACCCTTACATATGCTGTCTACAAGAGACTCATTTCAGATCGAAAGATGCACAGACACTGAAAGTAAAAGAATAGAAGAATATATTTCATGAAATGGGAATGAAAAAAAAAACTAGGGAAACAATACTTATATTAGATGAAACAGACTTTAAAACAAAGACACAAAGAAGGACCCAGCAATTCTACTTCTGTGTATTTCTCCGAAGACACCAAAACACTAAATCAAAAAGATATATGCACTCGTATGTTCATTGCAGCATTATTTACAATAGCCAAGATATGGATGCAAGCTAAGTGTCCATCAATAGATGAATGGATGAAGAAGTGATGCATATATACAAAGGAATATGACTCAGCCATAAAAAAGAATGAAATCTTGACATCTGCTATAACACGAATGGACCCAGAGGGTATTGTGCTGAGTGAAATAAGTCAGACAGAAAAAGACAAATACCAAATGATTTTACTTACATGTGAAATCTAAAAAAAAACAAAATAAACAAAGAAGCTGAACATAAAGAGACTCACAGATAGAGAACATTTTGATGGTTGCCAGATGGGAGGGGGTTCAGGAGGATGGGTGAAAATGATGAAGGGATTAAGAAGTACAAATTGATAGTTACAGAACAGTCACGGGGATGTGCTTTAGTACAGCATAGGGAATATGGTCAATAATACTGTAATAACTATATATGGTGTCAGATGGGTACGAGATTTATTGGGCTGACAATTTTAAAAGTTCTATAAATGTCTGATCACTGAGTGGTACACCTGAAACCAATATTATATTGCATGTCAACCGTAATTGAAAAATAAAAATTATTTAAAAAAGAAAAAGAAAAACAAATGAAAGTAATGTGCCTATTTGCACCGTCCCAACTTGGCTTACCGACATTTGGGTAATCAGTTGCTGCAGGTTGCGAATTATCTCTACATTTTCTTTTAGTTCCTGGTCTTCCAAAGTCTCCACTAGCTTTTGAAGATCCACTTTACAGCTGAAAATTCAAGCACAGGAATGCAAGAGTCAATCACACTGCAAAAGCCAGAGCGTCTATGATTAGATCTCAAGGTGGTAGAGGTCAATAGCAAATATCTGGTAGGAAACTTACGCTTCGTGCTGTCTGAGCTCTTCTAGCTTGGCGTTCATTTTTTCATTTGCTTGTTCTGTCTGCAACAAAGACCCAGGAGATGATCAGTGGTAGTGCCTGACAGCCTCGCCTAATTATGCCTTCTCTCCTACTTCTGCGGATTCAAACCCAGGTAGAGAGGCTGCCTCCTTTGCTGTAATAGAGGACTTGGTGGGCTTTGGTTATTTAGTGAGAAATGTTTTTTAACGGTCATGGAAATTAGCCCTTTAGTCAACATGAACTACTAAAAATAGCATTCGAGCAGCTGGGTCTTATGCTTGCCATGAAGCTCAGACTATGGGGTGGAGTGTGAAGCCTCTATTCCAAAGAGAACTTTGCAACTGGGGGAGAAAGCAGTGTTCCTGGCATGCTACCCCCTGCTGTTTGCAGAAACCCACTTCCTTTAAACTGCCTCCTACACGATGCTGTTGCCTAGTCCCAGCAGAAGGGCATTTAAAACATAAAAGGGCCTCACACTGCATATGAGCAGAGTTTTTTTTTTCAAGTCCCACTATCTGAGATGGTAGGCTAGTTTTAGCAAAAGAAAGGAAGAAAGAGGGTGAAGCACAGACTGATGGCAGAGAAAAAGGGCAGAGACAGCTCCGTGTTTGGGAAGGGTGATTGATAGCTTCTGTTTGGTTTCCATCACGGCGTCTGTAACATGCTAGATGCTGCAACAGCTTTGGGGAGAACAGTTTATATAGGAGAAAAATGTATGCTTGCTATGAAGTTCTGATAGGACATCAACAATAAGCCCAGAGGGCAGCCACTGTAACAACCTTATAAAGGTCAGACAGGTATGTGGCTAGAATAACAAGTACTGTCTGTTACATCTGCCACGCTCACATACATGTGAGACACATCTTCTAGAATCACTCCAAAGGCATACAAGGCAGCATGGAGACAGAAACCTGTGTATGAAAATCCCCTAGATCCCATGTCAATCCTTCTGCTAATAATGGACGATACAATGGATGTGGGATTTGGCCCCCCTTGAAGAAATCATTGAACAGCTCACCCTTCCTTGACAAGAGAGCACACTGATGCAGGACAGTTTATAAATTACAGATGTTCAATTACATTTTGGTGGATGCTCATTTTCGCTTCTGGCAATAGTTGTGCTATGACAGACTGAGTTGTATTTAGACTAGTAGAAACAACCGTTATTAACAGAGTCAGCCCGCGCTGAACCAGGAGGTTCCTGTCAGAAAGGTGCTGGGATACCGACCCCGTGCCATCAGTTACACAGGAATCCACTATTGGGAAATTAACCAGATGTAAAAGGAATGGGAATGAATTCTCCAGCTCTTCTATCTTGGCACAATTACGGTTAGGCTGGGATATGGCATGTGACAATATTAGTGGAAGGGAGATAGAGAGGAACTAACATCTTAGTGGAGAAACAGTTACACTTGGTGTTATGGTAAGGATTAGGCAGGACTTAAGGTGACAGAGGGACCCAGTACTTTAGAACAAATCTATTTTAAAATGGGATTCAGGTAGATTCTTTGTCGTGGTTATACAGGTGTTCACTGTACAATTCTTTGAACTTTTCTCCATGTTTGAACATAAGTCCATGTATTTACCTCAGAGGGGCTCCTGGGAGGATATGGTAACGCTATCCATTTCTTTCCACATATCTTGGCTCTCTCTTGAAAAGCATGTTAAATAGCTCAGAAACAAAAGCTAGTAAATGTCCAGATTGCTAGGAGTTTAGTCTTGGGGTCTCACCAAAATGATCCTCTCCAACATCTGGGCCGTCTGACCAGCTGCCTCGCTCAGACCACGACTTAATTTTTCATTCTCCTCTATCAGGGACTGATTCTTCTCCATCAAAGACTGTAGATTCTCTGACGGTTCTGCACTAAAATGAGGAAAGTAACATATTACAAAAATACATGATTGATAACAACTATATCAAAGGTGGACAAAAATATATCCCATAGGCCTTTTGGGCGGGGGGTTGGTTTAAAATTACCCTCAGAAGTCTGGAAAAGGTGTGTCTATTCCAATCTATTCTCCCAGTCAGGTAGTATATTGTATGAATAAGATATATATGCCTGAAATACTTTATTATTTTTAATTTTATTTATTTTTATTGAATTTATCAGGGTGACATTGGTTAATAAACTTATGTAGATTTCAGAGGTGCACTTCTCCAACACATCATCTGTATGTTATACTGTGTGCTCACCACCCCAAGTTAAGTCTCATTCCATCACCATTTATCGCCCCTTCACCCTCTGCCACCTCCCCTCACCCCCTTTCCCTCTGGCCGTCACCATACTGTTGCCTGTGTCTATGAGTTTTTTTTCCCCTAAGTTCCTTCACCTTTTTTCCAGTCCCCCAAATCCCCTCCCCTCTGACATCTGCCAGCCTGTTTTCTCTATCTATGAGTCTGTATCCATTTTATTTGTTAGTTTATTGGCTCATTAGACTCCACATGTAAGTGAAACCATGAGTTGGAGGATGGTAATGATTCAGAGCCCGATATGGTTGCAACAGGAATGACTAATCTCTACCCTGGGCTCTTGGTTTAGGATCTTTCTATCTGTTCCACATAGATAAGAAGCGAAGGCTCAGTGCCGCTAAGACACACGTACTCTACTTCCCACTCTCAGCCTCTCCTTAAAGATTAGGGAAGTAGGGAAGGGAAAGGTTCAGCAGGGGTAGGGTCTAACTTGAACCTCATACACATAGTAAGTCAATGACCTATTTAGTGTAAGGTTTAGGGGAATAGCACTTAAGGAGTCAGAAAGTTGAAATGATGACCAGTGGCCACGAAGAGCACATTTCACAATTCTCCATAAATAAGTGCTCCCTTCTAAGTGCTTGTCTTGCCTGAAACTGATGACCCGCAGCCTTCTGTTCATTTGTCTATCAGTTTTAAATTGCTTCGAGTGGTTGGAGGTGACAGTAATTTCCATTTCAAATAGGAGTGAAAGGGAGGGACGGAAATAGTTTGAAGGATACATATAAATAAGAACCTTTGGAATTTATGCAGATTACTTGATATCAGTCCCAGACTAATGAAGCAGATGAAAAAGAAGTACAGTTTCGGTTTTTGTTTTTGTAATCCACTGGGATTAGCTGTTCAAAACACTGAAAAATAGGACTGGTGAGAAAAGATCAGAAGAACTGCGAAGACTGGATCTTAAGGAGCCGGAAGGGAAAATGAATAGTTGTCAAGGCTATAATAAAGAGAGAAATAGGGCAGGGTACAGCTGTTCTCAATCTCAGTGAAGGCCAGAAGTGGATTTCAGGAAGAAATGCCCTCTCACCCAGGTTAAGCCCTCCATGAATTCTTTTGGAAGATTTTTGTCACAAAGTTAATAGCAAGGCCACACTGTAAGGTCTCCCATCACACTGCTGAGAATTTCCTGAGACTCTTACGAGGGAATGCTAAATTAAAATGGGGGTTATGAAAATAAACTATCAGTAAATTTGGTGCTATTTCAGATGGCTCTGATATTTCATTGTTTCCTTACTGTTATTAAACTGAAAACTTCCAATGTTCTTGAAAGTTGACAAACTCCAAAATAATGAGACTTTTTTATTAAAGTATAATTGACATAAAATAGATTAATTTCAGGTGTGTACATGTGCTCTGATATTTATGTAGCTCACGAAGTAATCATGACATTAAGTCGAGGTAGTGACCGTCTGACACCATATAAAGTTATTATGATATTACTGGCTGTGCTCACTGTGCTGTACATTACATCCCTGTGACTTATTTGTAACTGGAAGTTTGCACTTCTTTTTTGCCCATCCCCTCGCCCCCTCCAAAGTAACAACACTTTAACTCCATACTTTTTTCCCTTAAAATTTCCAAGGTTTCTCCAAACAGGGAAAAGGATAATGGAAAACCAGTGTTTCCTCCTTCACATGCTTTTAATTGCCAATGCTACGAATTCAAGTAGCTAAGCATGTGCGAATGGACAAACACTTGCAGAAAATCAATACAAAAGCTTTAATGACACACATTCAAAAAGAAAACAATATAATCCGAGGACAAAAAGCAAAAAATAAACCCCATGTATATAAACTGTACATTTTGTTCAAAGCCTCATGAAATGTCTCTGAAAATTTAAGTATACATTTTCTTAAAGATTTTATTTATTTGTTTGTTTGTTTGTTTATTTATTTATTTTTAGAGACAGAGGAAGGGAGGGAGGAAGAGAGGGAGAGAAACATTCATGTGTGGGAGAAACATTGACGGGTTGCTTCTCATACACCCCCAACTGGGGACCTAGCCCACAATCCAGGCATGTGCCCTGACTGGGAATTGAACCAGTGACCTTTTCAGTTCTCGGCCTGTGCTCAATCCACTGAGCCACACCAGCCAGGGCCAAGTATACACTTTTGAAAAAAAGAAGTAGCACCTTTATTCTCTGTGAAACATTGAACAATTGAGTTCAAGTCTTTGGTTCATGAACTGTTTCTTAGAATCTACTACTTCTGTAGCTGAAAAATATACCCTATAGTATATTCTCGGTAGTTGGACGTTTGGAAGGGTTTTCATTAGTCTTGTGTTACATGAAATAGGTCTGTGGGAAAATGAAAGGAAAAGAAGATGGGCCAATTGCTTCTCAACCAGGAGTAGTGGAATAGGTCTTTAAGAGACCCCAGCTTTCCTCAGTTTATCCAACATTTTAAAAAATGACGAAGGATACCAAGATTAAATTACCAAAAGGGGGAGAATTATAAAGACAAGGGCGGTCATCTCTGGGTGACACATTAAGGCAATTTTAAGATTTATTGTTTTATACTTTTCTAAATGTTCTACAAGAAGCAATGTAGCACTTCTACAATCAGAAGAAAAATGATTGAGTCCTGCAAATAAGGATATTAAAAGAAAAGGGGCTCGCACCATATACAAGAACTCCAAATGAAAAATGAAAAGTAGAAGAAAGAAACAACAAAAGGACTAAAAGGAAACACTGGCAAAATCCCCTTTGACCTTGTAGGAAAGGCTTTCTAACAAGGAATCAAAATCCAGACACATGAGGAGAATGCAAACAGTAGTCACTTTGGAAAACAGTTCCGCAGTTTCTTAAAAAGTTAAACGTATGGTCCAGCAATTTCACTTCTAGGTATCTACCCAATAAAAAACATATACCCACACAAAAACTTGCCGGTGAATATTCATAGCAGCATTATTCATAATAGCCAGAAAGGTGAAGCAACCAAAAAGTCTATCCACTGGTGACTGGATAGACACCATATGGTGCAAACAGACAATGATGTACTATTCAACAAGGAGAAGAGCGGACACAGGCTACAGCAAGGATGACCCTTGAAAACATTACAGGTGAGAGAAGCCAGGCAAAAAGTCCACATACTATGAGTCCATGTATATGATATGCTCACAACAGACAAATCTATAGAGACCGAAAGCGGATTAGTGGCTGTCTGGGACTGGGAGCTGGAACAGAGCTGACTGCAAATGGAGAAGGGGAGGTGGGGGGAAGTGAAGGAGGGTGGGGGGGGCGTGATGAATGGTGATGGACGGAAGCTTGACTTGGGGTGGTGAACACACAGTGCAGTGTACAGGGTCATTTTGGGGCAACAGAAATGTTCTAAAATTGGATTGTGGTAATAGTTGCACAACATTGTGCATTTACTAAAAATCAGTGAATTATACACTTAAAATGAGTGAATTTTAAGGTCTGTAAATTATCTCAATAAAGTAGCTAGAAAAATCCAGAGTCAATAAAAAATGATTGATATACTTTTTAGCACATAAAAATTTAAAAAATTTGCATGACAAATGCCATAAATAAAGTAAAAGAGGACACACTTGAAGAAAGTATTTGTAATACACAACAGACAAAGGACTGATATCACTAATATATAAAGAACTATTAAAATGAAGGTCCATGCCCTGGCTGATGTAGCTCAGTGGATTGAGCATGGGCTGCGAATCAAAGGGTTGCTGGTTGGATTCCCAGTCAGGGCACATCCCTGGGTTGCAGGCCAGGTCTTAGTGGGAGCCATGTGAGAGGCAAGCACACATGATGTTTCTCTTCCTCTCTTTCTCCTTCCCTTCCCCTTTCTCTAAAGATAAATAAATAAAATAAAATAAATAAAATAAAATTAAGGTCCAAAATTGGGGTAGCTGTTATTAAAAAAAAAAAAAAAAACCCCAGAAAACAAGGGTTAGCTTTCTGTGACTGGCTTTTTTCACTTAGCATAATTCTCTCCAGGTCCATTCATGCTATTGCAAAAGGTAAGAATTTCTTTCTTTTACAGTTGAGTAGTATTCCATTCTGTAAATGTACCACAGTATACCATATGATCTCACTCACTTGTGGAACCTAATGAACAAACTGAACTAACAAGCAACATAGAGACTGACTCATAGATAAAGAGCAGGCTGACAGCTGTGGAGGGGTGGGGTTGGGGTTGGGGTTGTGTTATGGAGGGGGGAATTGAGCAAAAAAGAAAAACAGAAAAACGCATAGACACAGACAACAGTGTGGTGACTGGTGGAGGGAGGTGGAGGAGGGTATGGAGGGATAAACGGTGATGGGTGGAGACTTGACTTGGGGCAGTGAACACACATCACTGTGTACAGATGATGTGTTGTGGAATTGTGCACCTGAAACCTGTACGACTTTTGTTAACCAGTGTCACCCCAATAAATTCAATAAAAAAAAATAAGGGTTAGCAAGGATGTAGAGAAATAGGAACCCTTGTGCACTGCTGGTAGGAATGTAAAATGGTACAGCCACTATGGAAAACAGTATGATAATTTAATTAAAAAATGAAAAATAGCCCTGGCTGGCGTAGCTCAGTGGATTGAGCGCGGGCTGGGAACTAAAGTGTCTCAGGTTCGATTCCCAGCCAGGGTACATTCCTGGGTTGCAGGCCATAACCCCCAGCAACCGCACATTGATGTTTCTCTCTCTCTCTCTCTCTCTCTCTCTCTCTCTCTCTCTCTCTCTCTCTCCCCCCCTTCCCTCCCTAAAAATAAATAAATAAAAAATCTTAAAAAAAAAAAAAGAAAACTTCCATCAGCATCATTTAAAAAAAATGAAAAATAAAAAGAATTACTATATGATCCAGTTATTCCTCTTTGGGGTGCATATCCAAAGGAATCAAAAGCAGGATCTTAAACAGATACCTGCACACCTATGTGCATAGCAGCATTATTCGCAATCGCCAAAGGGTGGGAAAGCAACCGATATCCATTCATGAGTGAATGGACACACAACGAATGGTACATACAGCATGGGGCAAAGGAAGGATTACAGTTGTGAGTACATGACACACAGGGTTTATCCTTGGATTATTTATTAATTATTGCATTATTTTCCATACAAATAACTCTAAACCTACTTTTGCCCAACTCTGTATATTCAATGAAATAAGCCAGTCACAAAAAGACAAATACTGTATGATTCCACTTATATGAGGTATCTAAAGTACCTAAGTCCATGGAAAGAGAAAGTCGCATGGTGGTTGCCAGGGGCTGAGGAGAGGAGCACAAGGAGCGTTGCTGTTTAATGGGTATGTAATTTCAGTTTTACAAGATGAAAAAGTGCTGGAGATCTGTTTCACAACAAGGCAAATATACTTAATGCTTACCAACTGTGCACTTAAGAGTGGTTAAGATAGTAAATTTTATGTTATATGTTCTTTATCACAATTTTTTAAAAGAAAAAACCCACAAGAGAACTAGAAGAAAATATAGGCAAGGCCTCTGTGCATATAGGTGAAGGTAAAGAGCATTCTATAAATAAAAGCAGCCCTGACTGGGTAGCTCAGTTGATTAGAGCATTGTCCTGATTGCCAAGGTTGTGGGTTCAATCCCCGGTCAGGACACATACAAGAATCAACCAATAAATACATAAATTAAGTGGATCAATGCCTGTCTCTCTCCCGCCCCCGCCCCCGTCCTCCCTCTCTCAACTCAATAAATAAAAAATAAAAGCAATGTCAGAAAAGTGGAAAATAATAGATGGGGGAGGGGAGGAGAGCTGTCTAATGGGTATAGGGTTTCAGTTTTGCAAGAAGCAAAAGTTCTGAAGATTCACTGCACAACAACGTGAACATACTTAACACTACTGAACTGTACACTTAAAAATGGTTAGGATGGCAAATTTTAGGTTATTTTTTACACAATATTTTTTAAAAGGAAAAAAATATATATATATTCAGAGAAGTGTCATTTCCTCTTTGTCCCTGCGACCCTGTTCCCATTGCACACTTATTTCCACCCCCTTTCCGCCATTATTCTCCCTCCCCCTGCACTAACCAATTTCTTTAGTTTCTGGTTTAGCCTTCCTGTATTTCTTTTGCACAAACGAGCAGATACCTGTGTATTCATATCCCCTTCTCTCTCATACAGATGGTACTATGCCATAGATACTCTTTGTGGCTTTGCTTTTCTCAGTATTTCCTGGAAATCATTTCTTATCAGGTCATAGAAAGCTTCCTCATTCTTTTTTTACAGCTGTGTGGCCTCTTATTGCATATACGTCATGGATTCAACCTCTCTCCTATCTATGGGCATTTAGGTTGTTTGCAGTATTTTGCAATTATAAACATGCTGCAGTGAGTAATCCTGTGTCTATATATTTTTGTGTTGGTAGTGATTTATCTTCAGGGCACATCTCTAGAAAAGGGATTGCTGGGATAAAAGGTAAGTGCTTGTCTAGTTTTGTCAGATAGTGCCATGTTTCCCTCCAGAAGGGTCACACCTATTTGCATTCCCAACAGCAATATATGAGAGTATTTGTTTCCCCCACAGCCTTGCCGATGGAATGTGTTGTCATATTTTTTTTTTACCATTTTTTAACCAATCAGATGGGTGAGAAATACTGTCTCAATGTTTTTTTTAAAGATTTTATTTATTTATTTATTTATTTTTAGAGAGAGAGGAAGGGAAGGCAAGAGAGGGGGGAAACATTCATGTGTGGTTGCCTCTTGTACACCCCCTACTGGGGGCCTGGCCTGCAACCCAGGCATGTGCCCTGACTGGGAATCGAACTGGCGACCCTTCGGTTCACAGGCTGGCACTCAATCCACTGATCCACACCAGCCAGGGCTCAGTGTTGTTTTAATTTGTAGTTCTTTAATTATGAGTGGGTTTGAGCATTTTTTCACATTTCAGAGCTATTTTGATCTCTTTCTGGTGAACTGTCTGTTCATGTGTCCCATTTTTCTAATGGTTTTTTTTTTTTGATCCCTTGGCCCTTTAAAAAAATTGTGGTAAAATATACAAAACATAAAATTTACCACTTTAACCATTTTTAAGTATATGATTCAAAATGTATACTTGAAACCTATATAACCTTATAAACCCATGTTGCCCCAATAAATTTAATATTAAAAATTAAAGTGGATTTGAGGGGGGAAAACATTCACAATGTTCAGCAACCATTACCACCATCTATTCCTAAAACTTTTTTATCTTGCAAAACTCAAAGTCTGCACCCGCTTACCCAAAACTGTCCATTCCCCTTCTCCCCAGCTCCTGGCAAACATTATTCTCCTTTCATTTGATTACTCCAGAGTACCTTATATGGGGGGACGTCATACAATATTTATCTTTTTTGACTATCATGTTTCAGTGAGCATAATGTTCTCAAGCTCCATCCATTTGATAGCACGTGTTCGAATTTCCTTCCTTTATAAAGCTAAACGTTTCATGGTATGAGTACACCACATCTCGTTTACCTATTCATCTGCCGATGGACATTATGTTGCTTGCGCCTCTTGGCCGCTGTGAATAACGCCTCTGTGAACGTGGGAGCGCAGATATCTTTGAGACCCTGCTTTCCATTCTTTTAGATACAGACCGGGAAGTGGGACTGCTGGATCACACGGCAGTTCCATTTTGAATGTTTTGAGGAAGCTCCACACAGTTGTCCACAGCAGTTACATCATTTTACAACCCCTCCAACAGTGTACAAAGGTTCTCATTTCTCCACATCCTCCTCCCATCCTTGACAACATTTGTTGTTTCCTGGTTTTTTAAAAATAGTAGTCATCCTAACTTGTATGCAATGACCTTATCGTGGTTCTGATTTTCATTTCTCTGCTCTGAGTAATCTTTTCTTATAACTCTGACTTTAGTCATCATCATGTTTCACGTAGCCTTCACATATGGAAAATATAAACAATTTAAACCAACTGAGATGTAGAGGGGACCCAAAATAGAGTATGAGCAGTGACTGTGGGAAACAGGACTTTGCCCGGCCAACTCTAAGCCTGAAGACAAAAGGAATTGCACAGAAATGCTGTAATCTTGTCCATACCTGTGTTTCTCACAGGTGTATGAGCTAATTAATTCTGAAATGACTTTATGTGTATACAGGACCTGAACAAATAAGTGAATAGATTGCAGATAATGACAGCTGGTTTCTCACGATTGGCAAAAGAAGTTTACACATAAGGAGAGGAAGGCTAAAATGAACCCTGTAGTGTCGGACTGGAGCCAGAGGTATCAGTATAAAATCATGGTTTTCAATATACGAGGTGGGGCAAACGTAGGTTCACAGTTGTTTCTATGAAAAATAATGCAATAACAAAAAATAATAAAAGGATAAACTGTGTTGTACGTACTCACAACTATAAACCTATTTTTGCTCCACCCAGTATATAAACATGTAGATGTAAAAATATAGATATGAGTGGGTTACTATACAGACAGGTATTTCCTAGCACTACTTACTGAGGGAGCCTAGAACTAGTCACACGCCAGTAGCAATAAGCACACCTAAGCGCCTAGATGTGGTTTCTAAACACCATTTCCCAATTGAAAAAACACTAGGTCTCCTCGGAGACATGGTGGATTCTAGAATGGGGGCGGTGAAAATCGAAGATGGGCATGGAAAATTTTGTGGGAATGCTCAAAAAGTTGAGGGCGTGTTAAAGAACATAACAGCCACTCCAAAGGAGCTCCTAGCAGACAAAGCAAAAACAGTTTGATGTCACCCTAGAGTAAAGTCAATACCCATGAGTCTACATGGACATAAATTTAAAAATCAAATGACTAGATGGGAGAGCCTCTGCTGTTCCTCATAGTGGAACTCCAATTACTACATTTCTGAAGCCAGAACCCACGTTCTTCCTATTGCATCAAGCTGCTTCAAAGTGAACCAGCTAAGTCCAAAATAGTCAGGAAGTTTGCTGAGATCCTTACCTTGAAACCAAGTGCTACCAGAAACTTTACCATATCAGGGGGAAACACCCATCAGGACAAATAGCCTCCACTGGAATATATATTTAAAATTAATCTATGACTCTTACTTTATAGATCCAGGCAGGGTACCTCCATGGGCTTGTAGCAACAAGACCTGTAGCTGTTGTACCTGGGAAATGCAAAGACAAATAGTCACCAATCAAAAGCTGCGTATCCCTTTAACAGTGAAATTACCGCAAGTAGCAATAGGGTAATTTTATTCAATAGACAGGAACTCTAAGGCATAACTTAGGTATTACAGAAGGCATCAGGCGTGATGACTCAAACATACTTAGAAGATAAGCTCTCCTTTCCACCAAAGCCTTTAATGAGTTTTTATTGAGTATATATCACATGGACAAAGCCAAAGGGGGTAGGATCGAGGATGGGAGGTGGGGATGGCCGGGGTGGGGCGGAGTGGTGGGGGGAAAATGGAGACAACTGTACTTGAACAATAATAATAAAGGGTGGAAATCAAATAGCCCTGGGCTAGGAAATGTAGGGAGGGGCGGGGAATGTGACAATCAACTCTTGTGGTTTATTCTCAAGTTTATAATCTAGTTGAGAAAGACAAGCCAGAGGCCTGACACAGTAGTGGAAAATAATATAAGATAGAAAATGCTAAGCTACCAAGTATACTTAAGGACTTTAGGATTCTGAGAAGAAGCAAATGAATGAAATCCCAAAGGCGGAGGGATCTTAACCCAGAGCACATGCGCAGTCACCCTCTCCCAGTCCCTCCTAGGAGGAAGAGGAGCTGTTCTGCCTCCCATAACCAGTCTCCTCACTTGTGCTTTGGATCCCAACTCTTCTTGCCCCTGATTAATCTCACTCTATTGGTTGGTTATCCCTTCCTTCTTCCTTATCTTTGAATTACAGGATATACTTCCTATTAAGATGAAAACACATTCAAGACTCTCCTATTTAAAAACAAAAGCAAGCTTCCCAATCCCACTTCCTATCTCCTTTGCCCTATTTCTTGCCTTCACAAAGTCTGAGGGAATTGTCTACCAGGGGTGTCCAACCTTTTGGCGTTTCTGGGCCACAACGGAAGAAGAGTTGTCTTGGGCTACACATTAAATACATTGTGACATGTAATCATAGAAAAATCTCATCATGTTTCAAGTAAATTTACGATTTTGTGTTGGGCCACATTCACGGCCATCCTGGGATGCATACGGCCCACGGGCCACAGGTTGGGCACCCCTGGACACCTTGCTCACCTCTCTCACTTGCTCAACTTCCACACTGAGTCCTGCACACAGTATTCCACAGAACTAACTCTTGCCAAGGTCTCCAATGATATGCATGTCACTGCATCCCATGGGTGGTTTCCAGTCTTCCCTTCACTTGACTATTTATTTGGTAGTCACCAGACACCATGCTTTCCTGCTTTTCCTTCTAGTCTTCTAGCCGATCTTCTAAGTCTTTTCTTGGTTAATCCTCACTCCAATTGTCCTTAAGATGATAAAGCTCTGCAAAGTTCAGTGTCAGTCTCTTCACTTTATACTCCCACCTTAAAGTCTCAACTCTGCCTACGGCTTTGATTCCCATCTAGAAACCAGGAACTGCCAAAATTTATCTCAAACATGGATCTTTTTGAATTTAGAGCCATACATTCAACTGCCTATTTAATATTCCACTTGCCCGCAGTCCCGAAACCGGGCCCCTTTCCAGTGAACCGCAGGTCAGGGAATAGTTTCACATGCCAGAAACCTGGGTCCCACACCCTCATCCCCTCAACTAATGCACTGGTCACTTCTTTTTATCACCACCGCCACCCGAAGTCTAAGCCACCATGATTTCTCACTTGGCTCAGTGTAGGGACTTCTCAGGTGGTCTCCGTGAATCTAGTCTTCCTCCACTACAATCCATTTGTAGTGGCCAGGCCATCTTTTGAAAAGGTCAATTTTCAATCATTTTTAACACAGTCCATGAGGCTTGAATCAGGCCTCTGCTTTTTCACCAGTCTAACACTGGCATACTCTTTCCTTGCTATCTCCACTGTAGCCACACCAGCGTGCTGTGAGTTCTTAAAAGACACTATACTTCTTCCTGATTCAGGACTTTTGTACATTTGTTATGTGCCTGGTGCTGTTCCAAGTGCTCTACGTGGATTAACTCACTTAACCTCCACGAAAAATGCTATTATTTCCTTCTTACAGATAGGGAACTGAGGGACAGAGAACTTGCCCAAGGTACATAGCTGGTGAGTGACAGAGCTGGGATTTGAACCCGGGCAGTCTGGTTGCAGTGTCAATACCTTTAACCACTATAATTTGCTACACATGCTATTTCTTCTGCTCCAAATCACCTTCCTTCTTTTCTGAACAGATGATTTCTACTCCATCCCTCAGATCTCTGCTGAAATGCTGCTACCTCAGGGAGCCTTCTCAGGTTCGATATATAACGGGGGAGCCTATTCCATATACTCCCACAGCACACTATGCCGGTTTATCAGGGTATGTTGGTATGATTATGTGCTTAGTGCCTGTCTCTCCCAATAGGCAGTAAGTTCCATGAAGGCAGCAACTGTGTCTGCTTTGCTCAACCATGTACCCCAGCACCATGTTTGGCGCAAAATAGCGTTCGATAAATATTTACTGTTGGGCCCTGGCTGGTGAGGTTCAGTGAATTGAGCGTGGGCTGCAAACCAAAGGGTTTCCAGTTCATTTCCCAGTCAGGGCACATGCCTCGGTTGCAAGCCAGGTCCCCAGTGGCAGGTGTATGAGAGGCAACCACACATTGATGTTTCTCTCCCTCTCTTTCTCCTTCCCTTCCCTGTCTCTAAAAATAAATAAATAAAATCTTTAAAAAAATGAGTATTTACTGTTGAAATGAACAAACAAATAAATGACTAGGAAGAAGAGCACCTGGGGCACTAGGAATATACATGAAAGAAAACAGAGGGACAGAACTGGGTGTGGTATTTTATAGTTTAGGTGATACTGTGAACAGGTAAATTACATGTCTTTTCCACGGTAACCGCTAGGAGGGAAGGAAATAAAGGAGGAGAGGAGGAGGGAAGAAAAGAGATGAACGGAATAGTAGTTATTACCACTGAGAAGGAAGGCCAAGAGTCAGAGTGAGCACTGGGTGGCTAGGAAACACTAGATGCTCAGTGGACAGACTACTATGCCCTGGAAGGCAACGAATCTTGAGCCCCCAAGCCTGAACCAATCCGACTACGACCTGCCTTCCCAGCTCCTCCACCAGGGCTGCTGAGGTGTCACACAACCACAGTGACACCCCCAGAAATTCATGCTTGCAGTTAACTGCCTCTTCCGTTTCAAGTCTCATGTGGTCCCCTAAGTCCCACTCCCCTATTATCTGCTCGCTGGCTCTTAGATGACCTTGCCTCCTACTTACCCGAGAAGATAAAGGTCATCGGGAGGAAAATCCCCCAGTTTCCCTTCTTCTCTCTCTAAATGAGTGTCGCTGCATCATTCCTATCCTAACCTTTTCTGCTAGTCTCAAGGCAGGTATCCACTCTATTGTTTAAAGAAAAGCCATCTTTATTTGCACGCAGGACTTCAACTACTTAGAGACGGCCCCTTATCTATCGGCTGCTCCCTAGTCTCAGTTTCAGTCTCTCCCAACTGGTGCATTCACTTGTTCGAGTGTCTTCCATATTTGAAAAAGAAACTACATCCCTTGACTGTTGATTACCTACCTCTTGTCGTCTGATATCTTGCCTTCTTGAAAGAAGAGCCTATCAGCTTCCCCCACTTCCTTATCTAGCATTCGCTGTCCACCCGACAGCATTCTGTTCCTTTCCTTAGCAACTCTACTTAGATGTCCCCGCCAGGCCTTTCAAATTCAAAATGCTCCAAACTGAGTTTCATCACTTCCCTGTTTTTCAGCCTGTAGCCCCCGACTCAGTGGCTAGTACTACCGTTTATTCAACTGTCTAAGCAAGAAACCTGGGAATGAACCTCAATTATCCTCACCCTCCCTGCTTCCCCATCATATTTGTTACCAAGTAAGCCTTACATGTTCTGCTTCCTTGTTTTCTTTCCTAATTCATCCTCTTCTCTCCATCTCTATTGCTACTGCCTTTCGGAGTTCAGGCCTATTATAACAGCCTAATTAATTTTTTTATTCCTAGTCATGCCCACCTCTAATCCACTTTCTTTATATATGCTAGAGTAATCTCCCTAAAAAACACATTTCACCAAGTCACCCTCTTACTTAGAATCTTTCAATGGCTCCTCATAGCTTTCAGGTTGAATTCCAAATTCTTTTTTTTAAGATTTTATTTATTTATTTTTAGAGAGGGAATGGAGGGAGAGAGAGAGAGAAACATCAGTGTGCGGTTGCTGGGGGCCGTGGCCTGCAACCCAGGCATGTGCCCTGACTGGGAATCGAACCTGCGATGCTTTGGTTCGCAGCCCATGCTCAATCCACTGAGCTACACCAGCCAGGGCGAATTCCAAATTCTTTAACAAGTCATTGGAGGACCCTTCAGGATCCGATTCCTGCCTACCTGTCTTGTCTTGTCTCTCAATGTTCACCGCTTTATCAGTGAAATCTCCAATGCCATCCCCCAACCTTAAATATGACACATATATGTTAATAGGAATTATTAACACGTAAGTACTTCCCCAAATCAACATAACGCTTCACCAGTAACTCTAAACTTCTGGGTAGAGGAGGAGCTAAGAAGCAGAAGCAGCTCTATCATTCCATTCACATTCTTCCAACTTTTCTCATCAAATTTTAAGTCCTTTATACCTGTCGCTTCAGATGATTAAGTTCAGCTGTCTGGGGATCGATATTAACAACAGGTTTGTTCTTGATTTTTCTTGCTCTGTCAGCATAGCGAAGGGTATTTAATGTTTCTTCTAGATTGGAGTCAGCAGGGCTCACGCAGGCTATCATAAGAGTGTGGCTATTACCTCCTAGAGAATCTAAAAGAGAGCAATGGAAGGAAATGCAATCAAACAAGTAAAATGCAAGCGAAGCTGTCCATACGGGCTGGTGGCTTCAAAACCAGAGCTGCAAGGGCAAAAAACGGAGTATCTACCAATTTCTCCTTTGTGACCATATAAAAACACAAAGATTTTTGATGTTTAAAATAATAATAGTTTAGGGTCCTATTGCATGTGTCCTCATTCTTGAGCGAGACTGTGATTTCTGCAGTTCATCAGGTTAAAACAACCGGGGCCTGGCCTGAGTATTTCAGGGGCCACTATTGGGATTAACCATTTCTCAGATGCTTTCACTAGGTCGATTTTAACTCTTCAGGGAATTGTTTATCAGTTCCAGCAAAGAAAGAGTAACGGGTTCATTTCCAGAGAGAAAGTACTAAGTTCAGTTGGCATCGTGCAGACTTCTTGGCTCTCAAAGCCATGTATGACGGCATCTTTCCATTATCTGACCAGCTGGCCTGCCAACAGGTCTCTGCCTTGTATTTATCAGTTAGATGGCTCTGCATGCGACAGTCCGAACATAGGGCCTTTTACCTGTTTCGTTTTCGCTTTCTCAGCAATATCATTCGGAATTACTCTCTCCTATTTTTAGAGGCACTTTGTGCTTACCTTGGAGCAGCCGCGTCAACTTGGAATCTCTATAGGGCACAAAGCCTCCCTTTTTGTCATCTCCGAGAGCACTGATTACATTTCCCAAGCACAGGAGGCCTCGGTTAATATTAATACCTAATAGCAGGAAACAAAATGTAAATTGCTTGGTAAAGCATTGATCTTCTGACCTACGTTTCTCCTGAGAAAGGTAAAAGAAATAAAGACCCCACCGAAACAGTCACCCATCAATTTTAAGGAAACTTCTGAAGCCTGTTCACTTTTCTTGGAGTGCCTCTTTAAGGAGAGGTCAAAGGACAAAGGTCCAAATGCTGGACAGGCACAGCTGAGTCTGTTGGCACTTCTCATCCTTTCCCATGGAAACAAAGCGGACAGATAACTATCACTACGCCAATAACCATTTGCACAGTTACTTACTTTTTATATCCATTATCACACTTAATCCTTAAAGTAATTCTGTGAAATGACACAAACAGCTATTTTTCATCATCTTATTATCATTACTAAAGTGTGTACAAAGGAACAATAATAATAAAGAGAATGATATGAATAGTTAAGTTCATCTAGTGTTTACTATAACCCAGACCCTGTTTTAGGTACTGTATACAAGGGTGGGCAAAGTAGGTTTACAGCTGTTTTTATGGAAATAATACAATAATTAATGATAATAATAATATAAGAATAACTTCTGTTTCACGTACTCACAACTGTAAACCTACTCACAATAGTCCTATAAAGTATGTATAGAGTATGATTATCCCTGTGTTGACAGATACGAGAGTTAAGTCACAAAGAGGTTAGGTAACTAGTCTAAGGTCACGCAGCTAATAAGTGAATGAGTCAGAATTCTAATGCAGGCAGTCTGGCTCCAAAGTCCATGGTCTCGATCTCTATTCTCCGTGGAAGTGACCTCTGTTGCTCACTTAGAGGCACCTGGTACTTGGAGGCACTTGGAAAGAGGAGAGGCGTGAGACTAAAAAGAGGTGATTGCTAGGAAATGTAGACAAAGAACTCTTGGACTCCGAAGTCTCCCCTGTAGAGCCTGCAACTACTGTGTCCCCATTCTCAACCATCCCCAGTCCACCTGATGGGATGGTCTTTCTCATCTCCACCCACTAAATGTTGCTATTCTCTTGGGACTGTCTCAAGCTCTTTTACTACTACACACACTCTCCCTGGGGTATCTCATCCATGCCTAGAATTCCAAGAAACACCCACACTAATGATTGCCTAAGTCTGCACCTCCAAGCCAGTTGTCTAAAACTATATTTTGGCCACCTGCTGAATCACTTCCCCGGGGCTGTGCCCACGTGACACTGCATAAAAGCATCGAACAAAAGAGATGCACCTTTCAGTGCAAATCTATTCCACTTCAAGCACTGTTCCTTTTTACTGTCTCATCACCTAACCGGTCACCCAACCAACAGCGGACTTGAGACATCCTGGGCTCTTCCTGTTTTCTCACTCCACACATCCGAGTCTTTTCATTGAACACTCAGTGAATGTGTACAATGCTCTAGGCACTCTGCTAGGTATCAGGGATACGAAGATGAATACGTCACAATCCCTACTGTTAAGGAGTTCATCATCTACCAGGAGAGAGAGACACGCAAATGACTGCAAAGATAAGGTTAAAGGAAGAGATATGTAGAGTACAATAAAGAATGGGTTCTCTTGGGAGGGAGTGGTAAACTTGACCTGGGAAGGTAAAGGAAGGCATCAGAGAAGAATGAAAAACTTAAGCTGAGCCCTGGCTGGTGTGGCTCAGTGCACTGAGCAATGGGCTGTAAACCAAAGCATCGCTGGTTCGATTCTAAGTCAGGGCACATGCCTGGATTTCAGGCTAGGTCCGCAGCCATGGGGCATGAGAGAAAAGCAACCAAACGTTGATGTTTCTCTCCCTCTTTCTCCGCCCCTTTCCCTCTCAATAAACAAACAAACAAACAAACAAACAAATTCCTTTAAAAAAACTTAAGCTGAACTGTGAAGGATGACTAGGACAATGCCAATGGAGGAGGGAGCAGCAGGAAAGGAGAATGTAAGGGCATTCTAGGCAGATGAAGGAGCACATGACAAGGCACATGTTTGTGAGAGAGCATGATACATTTAGGAACTACAGGTAATTCAATGTGAATACAATGAAAGTTATGACTTGGAGAGTGACAGGGAGGCCAGAAGACCGCTAAGGACAGATTATAAAGGGCACGACAGGTATGGCACGCTCAGGTAATTGCATTTACGTTCTAGGGCACTGGTTGTCAAATTGTGTTCCTGAGAACCTTAGGGATCCTTTAAGGAACCACAGAGGTACTGCAGAGTTTCTGCCACTGCCATTTCGACTTTGTTTTAAAAGTAATTTTTCATTTTGGTTACATAAATTTTACCATTTTTCAGTATAAAGTTCAGTGGCATTAAACACATTCATATTGCTGTACAACCAGCACCGCTATTTAAAAACTGCATTTAAATGGCTCACTGCAATGCGCTACACACCACATATTAACACACCAGGGTCAATCAACACAGAATCTTTGTGCAGCAAGGTTTAATAATTTTCTGCAGTCTTTAAAAATACCTCTATTATTTGTGCACATGTTTGAGTATTTTGCAAATGTATAATTTGAGGTTGTGGCTGTGCACTCATGGAGAGATAATCATGGAAAATTGTGCAAGTAATTATAGCGCATGAGCTTGTAGTAAAACCCCAGACTGAGGCAGTTGCTCAAACCATGTGCTCACCACTGCATCATAGTCAGTTGTGAACTATCAATGAATATGGAACTCAACATGTTAAGATGATATGGTATTTTTTGAAGATTTTATTTGTTTATTTTTTAAAGAGGTCAAAAGAGGGAGAGAGGGAGAGAAGCACCAATGCGTGGTTGCCTCTTGCATGCTCCCCACTGGGGACTTGGCCAGCAACCCAGACATGTGCTCTGACTGGGAATCAAACCAGTGACCCTTTGATTCACAGGCCGGTGCTCAATCCACTGAGCTACACCAGCCAGGGTGAGATGATATGGTATTAAAGATAACTTCACAATCTAAGTGTCCAGTGATGGGTGAATGGATAACCAATACGTGTGTGTCTGTGTATATGTATATATGTGTATATATATACCTACAGATATCTATCTATCTATGTATCTAAAATGAAATATTATTCAGCCACAAAAAGAAGAAAGCCCTACATTTTGTGACATGATGCACTTGAGGGCATCATGATAAGTGAAATAAGTCAAGGAAGAAGACAAATGCTGTATGTTCTCATTTATACGTGAAATCTAAAACAGCTAAATTCATAGAAAGAGAGGAGAATAGTGGCCACCCAAGGTTGAGGGGTGGGAGAAATGGGAAATGTTGATCAAATGGTATAAACATCCAACTATTAACATAAGCTGGGGATCTTACGGATAGCATGATGACTATAATTAACAGTATCATATTATATACTTGATAGTTGTTAAGAGAGTAAATCTTGCCCTGGCTGGTGTGGCTCAGTGAACTGAGTGCTGACCTATGAACTGAAAGGTTGCCAGTGTGATTCCTGGTCAGCACACATGCCTGGGTGGCAGGCCAGGTCCCCAGTAGGGGGCGTGAGAGAGGCAAGTGACTGATGTATCTCTTGCACATCAATGTTTCTCTCCCTCTCTTTCTCCCTCCTTTCCCCTCTCTCTAAAAAGAAATAAAATCTTTTTTAAAAAGTAAATCTTAAATGTTATTACCACACATGTAAAAAATATGATAATTATGTGAGGGGAAGGATAGAAAGACATCTTATGCTAATTATTTAGCTATCTATATATATATCTATATATATCTATCAAATCATCATGTTGTATACCTTAAACTTACTTATTTGTGTCAGTAATATCTCACTAAAGATGGAAAAGATTAAATGAGATAGTGCATATGAAGTACTTAACCAATGACACTAAAAAAAAAAAAACACTGTTTCAGTGCTTCTTGTAAGCTCTGGGAGTGATAAATCAGAAAAGATATTATTATTATTGATCCAATTTTGGATTTCAATATCCTATCATTCCTCATTGAAGCTCCTATATCAGTTTAATAATTGAAGAGAATCCTGAGATTGTAAAGTAGGCTGTTTAAAAAATGTTGGTAATTTGCAGTTACGTATCAGTATGATTCAGGATTTGCTTGATAATGAGTCACCAGAACAAATTATTAAAAAATTAGATGCAGCCCTGGCTGGTGTGGCTCAGTGCATTGAGTGCCGCCTGCAAACCAAAGGGTCGCCGGTTTGATTCCCAGTCAGGGCACATGCCTGGGTTACCAGGCAGGTCCCCCATAGGGAGCGTGTGAGGGGAAACCACACATTGATGTTTCTCTCCCTCTTTCTCCCTCCCTTCCCTTGTCTAAAAATAAATTAAAAAGTCTTTAAAAAATAGATGCAAAACCTCAACATTGTAACTGTCATCCAGAACCCCGTCATGTCAGAGACTAAAAATTAAGAATGTTCACTGGAAGCTAGTTTGTATTAGCAAAAGTCTGAAACCAAATAGTCATCATATGGGAATGGTATAACAAAATACAATGGCATATCTATACAATATATAGACATGAAAAAGAACATAATACAGATATATATGCTAATGTGGTATAACCTTCAGCAAATATCATTTAGTGGAAAAAATAAAGGATAGAGTAGAACAGAGCACACAGTATGCTCCCTTTGTATACCAAGAAAGAATATTTAGAGATGTGGACTAAGAATTTAGGCAAAGAGAAAACATTACTTTTCATTATATTGCATTTAAAAGAAAACTTAATTTCAAAATAATAATAGATTCACAGGAAGTGGCAAAGAAATGTACAGGAAGGTCTCATGCACCACTCACCCAGCCTGCCCCAAAGGTGACATCTTGCATAATTACAGTACAATATCCAAACTGGGAAATTAACATTGGCACAATCCTCAGACCTCATTCCAATTTCACTGGTTTTTACATGTGTACTGTGTGTGTGTGCATTTACTTCTGTGCAATTTTACCATGTGTATAATTTCATGTTACTATCACCAAAATCAAGATACAGAACTGTACTATTACTGCAGGGCTGTCTTGTGCTACCGTTTATGGGCAACAGCTACCTCC